CCTCGCGGCGCCTGTCGGGCGAGGGAGCCGCCCGGCAGGACCCCGCCGTGGCGCTCGGGTTGCGCTGCAGGCGCCTGGTGGGGTCGTTGCTCTGGTGCGCGTTGGCAAAACCCTCCTGGCGCCGCTGGAACCTGCTTAGGGGGCGAAACGTCCCCTGGAGCCCTTACTGCTCGCAGAGGAAGCTCTCCGTGGGGAAACACTCATGGGATGTTGGCCAAATGTTCGGTATTTGACCTAAAGTTAACGAGGGCTTTAAAAATCTGCTTGTGTAGGTCAATTTGTGACTGTAACGTTAATTTCTCCAGGTCAGGCTGGAGTGTGATCACAACTTGTGTGTTACCTTGTTTGGCTTGAAGACAATGCTTTATTTTTAAATGTCTTTGCCACTTAAAGAACAAATGCTGATCATAAATATGAGTAAAAACTGCAGCGGTTTTGGTAGCCGACCTAGTGTCACTTCATTTTGTGAGCTACTGTATCTTGCAAGCTCGTGTTTTGGCCTCTGTGTTTTTTAGGATCATGTGAGGGAAATGCCTAGGGGAAAATTGCTGTCCCATGCTGACTTTGTGTTTCATATCCTTGACAACTTTGTGGGGCAAAGTTTGTGCTTCAGTGGTTGGGCATTATAACAAAACAAACAAAAAACCCTTAGGTAGATTGTTTGTTTTTACTATTGGTTTATTCCTTTGTGCATTTTGATAAACGGTACAGGAAAGTATTAAGTTAAACCCATTTTCCTTTTTTTACTCTCTTCTTCCCCAGATTTGTTCGGAAAGGATGGTTCCGTTCAGTTTTCCTTTGTCCAAATATGCACTTTGGGACCCAGTCCCTATGGGAGATGTCATTGGTTCACATATCAGCTATTACAGGTATAAATAACTTTTTGAGGCAACTGTTTCTTAGATCAAGAGTTTTGAGTCATGGTTTGTTTTCCTTTTTGGGGCCTGCTGTAAGGGATAAAGCAAGAACAGTCAACATCTTCATAAGAAACACAAGTGTGTTATGAGTATGAGATAGGGTTTTTAATTGGAAATACTTGAGGATTTCACTTTGGGGATGTATCACAGTAATTAGGGTTTAAGGTGCCCTTATTAAGTTACTTATTTTTCTCCAGGTGTATGTTCTTCTGTTATTGAGACCCCTTAAAAAGAGTCTTTGTTCTTTTAAGCATCCGTACTAAATATTCTGCTAAAATGAAATAATTATATATTAAAATTAGTTAAGCTTTTTTGTCCATTGTGTTATTTTAGTAGACTGTTTAAGGGTTCTGTGTTAGTATCTAACTTCCTCCTCCTATTAAAATAATTCATAGTTGATAGCCTTTATTTGTTCTTGTAACCATGATGCCCTTTAGCTGGAAAAGCTCTTCTCTTTCCCCCTTATTTATTCTACATAGAGAACTATTTTTGACTTTGTTTGTTTGGCTAGTTAACTCAAAATGTACTTGTTGGAATGGTCTTGTATTTTAACTGGAACAGAATGCACTACATCTTTTCTTAAACATCAGTGATTAAGGACATACACAGAATACCAGATAAAATTCCACAGAAGTTTTATACATGTTGTTAACTTTTCCATTTTTGCTGTTAAATACTTCAGGCTTTTCTGTGTACTTTACTTTTATAAGACAGAATTCCTGGTAGTTCTTGCAATATGTAAAATCTTTCTTTATGATAGAAAAAAAAAAAGTGAACGGTTAGTGTGTTAAACTTGCTTATTGTCTTTTTGTAGAAACCCGAAATTGTCTATAATGGAGAAGACTTTGCGCCTTGCCTATCGTCATGCTAAGCAGAATGAAAAGCAGTCATTTTCCTGTTTTTTGCTTGGAACTCTTTTGGTGGATGAAGGTAACATTAAAATTCAGGAAGGCAGTACTGGGTGTCTAGCAAGCAGTTATTGATGACTCAGGAATTTTGGTATTTTTTTATACATACATATATATTTATTTTCTTTCTAGATGGGGAAGGCATAACAGTAGCAATTGACCGTTTTGATCCTGGTCGAGAAATTGCTGGTGGATCAGGCAAAATTCCAACTGCTTCTCTTCCTGGAGACTTTTTGATTCCATGTACAATTAATTCATGGGGACCGTCTTCAGATGACACTGTAGTGCACAGTGCTGAAGATATCAGTTTGGCTTTTGAGGTAAACCTGGCAAATTCTGGTTTGATTATTACACACATGAATTTAAAACACATCCAGGTAGCGGATTTGAGGTGGTGACTGTCTGTCTGATTGTGTGAAATGAACTGCTTGCTGGTCATTAAGGATCTTCTTAGAAACTGTTAAAATCTGTAGCCTTCGCTTACTTAAGGATCACCCTCCTGGATATCAGGCTAAACACTTGCTCTCTGACCATAATTTTCCAGCTGGTTGGTCCGCCAACACAAAATTAGTAACACAACAAACTTAAAGAAGAAAAAGCAGCTTTTTCTTTAAATATATTATGTAGGAGTTGTAGTGGTAAAAAACATTGCTAGGCGAGTGACTTGTAAGGAAATGTTTATCTGTGTAGGCCAGTAGCTATAGCTAAAGTGTATCTCTGTCTCTCCTGTATTCTGCTGTAGATGTACAGTCTTGTGAATACACCCCCCATTCCTGTAAATGTTTTCCTATAGTTATGTGTGTATTTATAGCAAAAAATGAGTATTACTTTCCATCTAAACTTTCTCATGATGATACATGCACAGTTAAGATACAAATTAAGTGCCAGTAAGTTTTGCCACATCACCTTGAACCTTCTGGTTGCCTTTTTTTTTTATTAGCTTCCATTTAATTTAAGTAATCTCATGTTTTCAAAAATATTGTAGTGTTAAGATATGCAAAGTTTAATATTTCTGGATGAATTTTGTGTTATTACTTATGATGTTCAGCACAGCTATCGACTTTAGACCTGTTTTTCTTTTTTTAAACAGTGCTTATTGCTGTACTAGCTATGATAGATCATTTTAAGTTTCATCTGCAATAAAAATTGTGTTGTGAAAACAAAGTCTCTAACTTTTTTTTTTTTTTTCCTCCTTCTCCTAACTTCTAGAAACTGCAGCACAGCCTTTGCAGTAAAGACTCCCTGGATCTTTCCAAACTGCTCACTGTTAGAGCTCACATTGTTTTCACAGAAAACCTAGATAATCTGAATTTTAATTTTCATTGGGCTTCTATAACTGCAGCAAATATCTTGGAATACACCCCTCTGAAGTCTGTCCCAATTATTCCTACAGCCCTTGCAAGAAACTTGAGCAGTCCTATGAATATTGCACAGGTTCAAGGGACTCTTAAATGTGGGTAAGTACAGATTATTGCTAAAACTGCTAAAGTTGCATGCCAGTTGGTTATCAGTTTAAACTGGAGAGGTGGGAACATCAACCAGTGCTTTGCTTGCTAATAAGCTAACGGCAATAAAAAGAGTGTGATTTCTAATACCTAGAAAAATTTAATATGGAAACAGGAAATGGGGTAGAGGAAAAAATCAAGCAGGAACTCTAGCCTTTGACTTCGTAGAAAGACCTTCCTGTGTGGGACAGGTCAGAGGAATGAGACATTTCTAGATAAAAAGCATCTAGCTTTTTGAACATCAGTGCTGTCCCTAAAATGAGAATCAGGTGAATATTAATAAAAACTTACTGTGTTAATTAAGCTTATAAGACCAGATTGGGGAATTCTCATTCTGCCTCATTACCAATAGGATTACCTGAAATTATTTCACTGATCTACGCACTGATCTACGCTCAAACATTTAAATGTTTGACTAGCACTTTATTTGGAAAGACACCTTGTAAAGCCCTCTGAATGTTACTGTTCATATTTAACATTACTTTATTTCTGGATTTGTTGTGACTACCAGAATATTATGTAAATGTATGTAGTAATGCTTGGATATGTAGGGAATGAAAAGCTGAAGAGTTCCTGTAAGTATGGAGGAATGGTCTGACATTTATTTTTTACAAACTTTTTTTCTTGCAGTATTTCCTAAAAATGCATTCTTCCTGCATTTTTTTTTACAGAAAAATAAAGTAATTCGATTTCCAAAATACTAAACTACACACACAGATACACACACACACACACAAAGCAAAAATGGAGTTTTTTTTGTTTGTTTCAGCTACCTTACCATGGACCAGACACGAAAACTGCTGCTGCTGCTGGAGTCAGATCCCAAGGCTTATACTCTGCCGTTAGTTGGAGTGTAAGTGGCTACGTCTGTGCAGTTTTAGCTTAATGCACCTATTGTTTTTGAGATGGATTTGAATGAGTACGTAGTAGAAGCTTGTTAATGTGACTCTCTCCAACTGGATATTTCTTTTTACTTTTAGTTGGATGAGTGGAGTTACCCATATCTGTAGCCCTCAAATCTGGGCCTGTTGCTTGCGGTATTTATTCAGCTCTTCAATCCAGGAAAGGCAAGTGACTGATCTACAAAACAAACTACTGACTACTTAAATGTCATGCTGTACTCATGCATGTGTGTGATGCAACAGTGTCCCTGTTATATTTAGGGGAATTCTGTGATTCCTGTGCTTATATAAGAAGCAGGATAATCTCATTTAATTTTAAATCTGCCTTTGTTTTCCACTCAATAACTTTCTGAAAACTAAAACTGCAATGTGTTAAAAAGTTGTGATTATGCTCCAAAGACTTAAGTGAGTAAATATTAGTATTTAGACTAAAATGCTGGTCCTTAATGATAAGAATCAGCAAGCAGGAAACCTCAGTTTATATGGGAGGAGGGTGAGGCAGGGAGCTTTGGTTTGGGGTTTGAACTTTTCTCACGAGTGTTTTCTTTGACAGAGGTTTTCTCCTGGGTTGGTATCTAACCAATGAAGTATATTGATTTGCACTTAATATTGTCTTTTTAATACTACGTATTTTATTAATGTAGTTTGTGATTTAAAAAAAAAAAGCCTTTGTTTATTTTAGTAAATAATTCTTCGTTTTTTTACATCTTTTCACTTGTAGCAGTTGTGAGGTTCTCTTTGCAGGGAATCTGTAAGAGAGGTAGTGCTTAATTGTGGTTTAGAACAATTCTTCAGGTAACTAAATTTTTGTATCTGCTCATGTATTTTTTTTTTCTGGTCAGCCATGCTTGCTTTTAAATTATGAAATAAAAAAGTTAGCTGCATTTGTGTGTATGTTTGTAATTAGTGAATATTTTTTTTTCCTGAAGAATTTAAGTACACTAAAATGCAGATAAGGGTCCAATTAGATTATATGATTGAGATAGGCTAGTTAGATGCTTGACTCATTAATTTTCACTGATGCCATCTTGGAAGTGGATTAGTCTGATTCAGTGAACCATGCAAACAGAATTAACCTCTGTACATGGTCCTTAATCTGTGTCATAAATTATTCTTACATCTTAAGAATTAAGAATTTAAGTTGTGTGTGAATGTGCTTCTCAAGCGTCTTGTTCTCACTGCTTTCTCTATTGCAGATATTACTTCTGGCAAACAAGCCCAATACAAGTGCTACAAAAAGAAAAAATATTCTGAAAGTAGTAGTACCTTTTTCTGAAAAGACACATTACTGCTTCCGTTGTTCTCGATCTTTTTTTGTTTTGAATATTGGGTGTGTTTACTCACTATTGTGTACCTATAGAAAACACTTCAGAATGATCATTCTTTTTGTTTTCATTTAAAATCAAAGAACATTGAATATTTAAATATAACTGAAACACAAGGTGTATTTACTTGACAATTCAATAGAAGTCGTATCTTAACCACAATGTTAGAAACGCATGATTTTTGTCTATACTGTGATTGAAGTCTTCCAGGAATTCATTTAAAGTAGTAAGTGATCCTAAGGGATCTAGAAAATATATTCTTGCTCTTTCTCTTTCTGCAATACTTTTTACACTTGGCAGCAGTCAGATACTTTCTGTAGCTCAGTAAAACTCAAAATGCAAATGGTGACTCACCAGTCTGTTGTATCAGGCATAACCGTTATAGTTTATCGAGAAACTATTTTTAAGAGCTTTTTTAAAAAAACATATTTTTTAAATATATGTTTTTTTAAATATTTTTTGTTTTCTTTAATTTTAGGGTTTTTTCAGAATCTGGGCGTTTTCTTGTTGTGCTTTATTCGCTGACACACAAAGAACCAGAGTTTTATGAGTGCGTTCCGTGCAGTGGACAGACTGAACTTGGGTTTCAGCTCTTAACTTGCAAAGAAACAATCCACCTCTTCAAAGTAAGTGGCTTGGCTTCCTACTGTGCTGCTGTAGTTTATGTTAAAATTCAGTATTTTAGTGCTTGCCAAGGAAGTCACATTAGTGTCAGCCATACAAAACTACAATGTTTGAAAATTACGTAGCTCTACTAAGCTAAGGGTTTTGCAGCAATCACAGTAAAATCAGGTTTTGCCTCAATTTGAGGGATAACATTCAAAGTCCAGACTGTTTATTTTTTTAATAACATTATAAATTTGTGTATTAAAATGCAGTGTGCTATGTTCAAATTTGATAGCACATCATCTTGTTAGTGACTTTTTGGTTTTCTCAGCAGAAATTCTGATTTCCTACAGTATTTCTAGGTCTGCTGTGCTATGCTTACTGGCTATTTATTTCAGGAGAGCAAAGCCAGGTAGCACTGTTCTCCTTGAAACTGAGTGCAAAAGGAGAATAGGTGGTTACTAATCTGCCTACCTCTTGCTGTGCTACTGTAACAAAGCAAGAGCAATTTTGTCTTTGTACAAAGTAACCCTTGAAAGCAGTTCATTGATACTGAACCTGAGAAGTGCACGTAGCATTTGGGAAATTGTAGGGAATTTCTGTTGCTTAGATGTTTCCCTAGCTTAGATAGAACCTGAATTTGAATTGTTAGTCTGTTCAAAATATGCTCCTGTATTCTGGCAGAGAAGCAGCTAGCATAGTGTCCTGTGCTGTTCTGCTTCACATTCCCTTCCCAAACACCTTGTTCTATTCAGGACTGTATTTTCTAGGTAACCTATAAATACAACTTAGCTTCCTGAGAATCACAAGGTTCTTAGTAACAGACATGAGCTTCTGCACTCTCCAAAACTTTCCAAGCTGTGATGTCTGCAGCAATAATGTAGAACAGTTGCTTTTTCCTATATTGGTGAGGGTTTATGGAAGTGTTAACTAAGCAGTTACAGCAAGGAAGCATCTGCTTGTGCTTGTAACTAGGCCAACAACTTTACAGGATAGCAGGGGGAGCAATGTGAAAAGGGAAAGAAAGTTGCCTGCCTCTCTGTACTGGTGGAAGGTCTGAGAACTGAAAGCAAGAGGACAGGCAACAGAAAAGTCAAATATGAACTTTTGTAAAAGTATTCCTTTGAGTAGTCAAGAACTGAATATTTCATGCTTCATAAACACGGAATTTCATTTCAGAATGTTGAACCTTCAGACAAGAGTCCAATCCAGTTTGAGTTGAATGCAGAGAAACAAAATGCAGAAACTGAGTTCTTCAGTAGGATCTGCAGGAAACTTCCCATTAGAAGGTAAATCTTTCTGATATCATTTATGCACCAAAAAGGAAGTATTTGGCCTCTACTGTGCACTCTTGCAGGTTAGCTGTCACTACAGTAATTTTCTCTGACACCCAAATCAGTAAACAAGCTTTTGTTTATTGCCAGAGTTAATGTTCTTTAACTGTGATTGTCAAGCTCACCAACTTCGAGAGAAACTACTGGGAGTTATACTCTTTATTGATGGTTGAGTTCCTCTGGTGCATGTTTCCAAAAAGACTTTACTGATGGGGCTTAAGTTTATTCCATGAAGTCTGTGAGATCCTTCATTTTTAACCAAATCTCTAATTACAATCTGCTGAAGTTGGTTAAAAGTCACTCTTCCCTCTGAATTTTTTCAGAGCTAAAACCTGTGTAGGCTGAAACTTAAGGCTTATTTTGGAAGCCACCTTCTCCACCTAGTTTGTATATTTTTGGCTTCAAAATGACCTTTATTCTCCTTTATATCACAATCTTTACCTTACACTTTCTATCTTTGTAACATAAATCAGTGCTTCAGTGTTAGACTGGCACTTAAAGTGTGTATATGTTTGGATATACATGCTGGCAGATAAGGTTAGTAACTTTTTGTCAAAAAAGAGCATTTCAACTTTATTTGACTTCAGAGCTGCTTGTCATTTGACACTCCCTGGCTAAGAGATTTATAACAACTACTTCTTCAAAAATGGTGCTACTACTGTGTGTGACTGATAAAATAATTTGAAGCTTCATATTGCAGCAGTTTAACACTGCAAGCATGTTAGACTTAAAACACGCGTTGTTTAACTTATGTTTTTTAGTCCTCCTCAAGGCTCTTCACCCAATAAGTTGTCAGCAAGTGATCATGACTCTGGTGTAGAAGATGAGGATTTATCCCCCAGACCAATTCCAAGTCCTCACCCAGTGAATCAACAGGTAACTTAAATAATTCCTCTTGGCTTATCAGATCTTAAGATGTGAAGAAAAAAAAAATGCTGGCTCAGTGTAAGGAGGTAGGAGAATATGAAATTTAAGAAGCAAAAAGCTAGTATTAGCAGGTGGAAAATCAAACTGAAGAAATGAACCCTGAAATCCTAAGCTGTGCTTAGTCATCCTGCCTTTGAGCCAGCAGCATAGGCATCTTAGTCCTTACATGTGCAAGCACTTGAGAACAGAGATAATAGGTTCTATTGTGGGAGTCCTGCTATCAGTTACAAAGAAAAGCTGCAGTGTCTTCGGCAAAGAGAGAGGCAGTGAGCACTACTGCATGTTTCTGGGAAAGAAAAAAATTCTCTAGTTTATCTTCTATTTTACTGGAGTGTATCTAAACATAAAAAAAATATCTGTAGCAAAGCATATTTGAAAATCCACAACAATTGTGTCCTCCTAGACCTGCACTGGCTGGAGACTTAGAGGGTGCTGTGCTTTGTTTGAATAAACAATAGTAACAAGGATTATGTAGTTCCCTTTCTGAAGGGGGAAAAAAATCCATGTCCTGAAATATCGTCCAGGCCATTGGAGAGAAGAGCATTAACTGAGTAGGCAGGGCTGTTATTCTGTATGAAAGTTGTTTTGCCTTTTAAGGATGGTACTAGAGGTCATCTTCTATTTTTTTATGATTGTTTTCTCTAACATTTAGAAAATTATTCCATGTATTATGAGTTTGGATCTGGTATTGGGTAATTAGCTGATTTTCAATTAAAACATTTTATTTGACAGATACTAGGAAATTCTGCATATGAAGAGCAGAAAGATGAAATTCAAATGGTTAAAATTTTCTTTCTGTCATCATCCATCTAGGTTACTAGGATCTTTCCTTCAGTTCCTGAACTCTCCCTTGTTTTGGATGGGAGCTTCATAGAATCAAGACAGTTGCCTAAAACTTTGGGCACTTCAAATGCCAAAAGTCAATCCTCAGTGTTACATCAGCCTATGAAAAAGAAATGGCCTTTGGGATCTACGCATTACCCTGCTCAGTGCTCTGATGACAAACCAAGTTTTGCTAATATAGGAGACTCCTCTTCAAGGCAACTACCAAGCCATTTAAACCAGAAAATTCCAACATCAAGGGCTCCCAGGGGAAAACAAGCTCAACTACAGCAACAGTCTCACTGTAGGAAAGTTGGTCCTCAAACAAGGAAAAGTTCTGGATCTTCTTCCTCTTCTCCTTCAACCCCCTGTAGTGGGCCTTCCCCAGATGCATCTGTGCACCAACCCAAGAGGCTATCAGAAAGACTGGCATTAAATCCTGACGGAGCCACGCAGCAGGAAGAGCCTGCTGTTAGAAGAACTTCGGTGTCCAGCTCCAAGCAGCTTTCTTCTGCTCCCCAGCCATTCCTGCACAGCTCTACTTTCACACCCCAGCCCTGCAGAAGGCCCTCGGAAGTGCAGGTGCCTGTTCAGGTGCCATCCTGCTGCCCAGCCAGCACATGCAACTGTCAGTTCCTTGGTCCTGTCCAGTATAATCCAACAAACTCATGGCAACGAATGGGGAAAATGAGCTGCAAACAAGGAGCAGAAATCCAACCGGAGATGGCTCAAGAGAATCCATGTGCAGCGTTCCATCAAAATATAATTTGTCCAAATATTTGCTGCAATACAGGATATGCTACAAGTAGCCCTATAAACTTGGGATATCATGGGAAAATGGGGAACTGCACTCTTGATAATAGCTTATCTCCTGGCGTAAGGCTGCCTTCAAGCGCGAGCCCCTGTAGCGTGCAGTGCTGTGCAGCGCATTCACCGTGCACGCACATGCCTGCTTCCAGAGCAGGATCAGATAATGGGATGATGGGATTATCTCCAGATGCTTACCGGGTTCTTACAGAACAAGATAGACAACTAAAATTGCTTCAAGCCCAGGTTTGTTGAAATGGCTGCTTTCTCCTCTGCCCTCCTAGTGATTAAATACACTTTGAAATCCTTTCCCTCTCTCCCCTCTTAGAGGAATTAAGAAAATTAACTGTTAGCTATTCTGTCAGGGACAAGAGAACTTGTGAGACCAGGACCAGCTTTGGGATCCTGGTGAACTGCTAGTTGTCCCTTACAAAAAAATGAAAATGACTCTTTTGTAACTAGACTCTTTTTGTCTGCGAACTAGATTAAATCTAACTAGATTTATTTTTTTATGCTATAGTTCTATAACACGTGTATTTCCATTTTAGAAGAATTCTGTATCTAAAATGATTCTGTAATCTAAACTGATCATATTTCCTGTCTAAAGCCAACTTTACTGTTTGGGCCATATACTTTTCAAAGTTCATGGTAGAGTGGAGTGTGAACTAGCATGCAACTCTGCACACCTTGAAGCCTGCAACTTCCTGGGATTTTAAGGCCATTTCTTAAAAAACTTTAATAGTCTGTCTGCAGCAGACAGGCAATATTTGACAGGTATTTATTGCTGTGTGCAAACTGCTTTTTGGTTGTCTAAGTATTTGAAACAACCTGGTATTTGATATTCTGGTATTCGAACAACAGATTAAGTTCACTCAAAATAGCAACCTTTGACACTACTGGCCCTGAATTTAAGCTTTGTTGCTGATGGTGACTGATGGGAATAGGGAAATTGATACAATTGCATACTGCACATGTTTTTCCTGCTTTAATCTAGAACATTGCCACTGAAATATGCTTTAAATAGTTCCTGTATGTAAAATCAAGCTCTCAAATCATGGGTTGTGAGTGAGGGGAGAACCCTCCCCGCTGCCTCTTCCTTTTTTGTGTGAGTGCAGGTAGGTGAATAAAAGGGACAAAAAAATTACTTTCAGCTAGTGTAGTGCAAATAGTCTTTGAGCTCTCTTTGTGTAGCTCAGCCACTATGCCTAAAACCTTCTATTTGCTAGCTCTGCCAGCATAAAAAATGATATTTTGATTCATGCTGCACGCGCTACTGAGAACCGGAATGTTGTCCGGCTTCTGAGGCAGTGCAGTCTGAATTTGAATCCAGATCTTAGAGGAGACAAATTTAATAAATCAATGTTGCCTGTTATATATTACTATGTTTTGCTGTACAAATTAAAACCATTCTGCCTGTTACAGATCCAACGCTTATTGGAAGCTCAGGCTCATCAGGCTTGTCCCTCTGAAAAAGCTGCGCCCAGTGATGCTCCACAGCTGGAGAAGCAAGGGGAATTGGTTGCTATGGAAACGAGAAAAAGTGTGAGCATTGCTGTGAGCACAGGTAATACTGCTCTTGAAGAGCAGCCTTGCATGGCTTTCTGCATGTTGCTGGGTGTGGGTGTTTCTTTTAGTGTTTTGCAGAAATTCTTAAAGTACAAACATGCATCTAGGTGCCTAAAACAATTGGAATGTCTGAATGTCTCCAAAGTTTTTTAGCTAATGTTTGCAAGTTTGGGCTGGAGCTGCTTTTGGGCTGTAATAGCAGTGACTGCTCTTGCTGGAAGACTGGTTTTGTTTTTTTTTTTTTTTTTAAGAGATTCAGCAAGGTTTTGCATGTTAAATTGTGACTTATTTAAAGAAGAAAATGCATTTTTTTTGTAATTAATAGAATGGAAACTTGTCTGTTTTTTTATGAAATGTGTTATTAATTGTGAGTTTCTATAAATTATGGTGTGTTTATTTTGGAGGGAGGCCTTCTGAAATCTCCTTTAAATTTAGAGTTACACAGCTGTGACTGGCTGCATATTAATGTATTAGCCTCTGTTAGCCCCTTGGAAAATATGGTTAATCTGGAAGAAATTTTCACTTAAAACTAGATCAAGCTTGAATGCCAGTATAAAATACTTTATTTTCTAAATGCATGTTTTTGAGGAAACTATCACTTAAATGTTACCTTGGCAACTCTTGGCTGTTCTAAACCTTGAATCACTTATAATGGTGAAAAAGAGACTGGATGTGAGGAAATGATTGCTCAAGTTTGAGGAAGCCAAAGTATCTCAGAAGCCACAATTTTCCTACATGGTAAATCACTAATTGCTCTTTTCTAGGTGCTAGCTTATTTTGGAACACACCCTGTGAAAAACAAGAAGAGTCCATCCCACAAGGGAAGAAAGACGATGAAGAAATTTCTAAGGAAGATATAAGTCTTTCAATTAATGCTGAACAAGATGCAAGTAATACTAGTATTGCTTCTTCTTTAAAGGCTGTAGACATACCCAGTTTTGTAGACAGTATCCATCTTGTTGAAGAAGGAGCTCATCAGAATACATTCCAGTAAGTAACTAGAAATAGCTTGTGCTCATATTATAAGCTAAACTGCCTTTCTTAAGCAATTACTCTTCAATGAATTATGAATGGTCACCTGATTTCAGTTACTATGTTCTTTCCCTTAATTTTTTCAGTCATGCCTCAAGTTACAGTTCACCAGCACACAACTGCCTTCAGAGTTTTCATCAGTCATGCACATTTGGCTGGCCTACTGATCAGCAGCAGTTCCAGGTTAAAGGCTTTACCATGCTGACAGTGTTTCCTTTCTTGACTTAATCCTGAGGAGAGAGGAGACATTACTTTAGTCATTTGTTTTCCTACAGTGACTTTTTGCTGTCAGTGTTCAGAACCCTTTTAATTATGAGGATTTTAGATGAGGACTGAGGGTTATATATCTATCCCTGGAGCTTCAGCATGTTTCATACTTAGTCCCTTTGAATTTCTGTATTGAATACAGGTGCCAACTTATATCTTCTTCCTTATTTTTAAACACAGATTCTTCAGCACTGTTGCAGTTGCTCTCAATCAAACTTGAAAATTGATTTTTAAAATATTTTCAATCCTGTATATGGCTGTTATTTCTACACAGGGAACAGCTCGACAGTTCGGAGCTTAATGGTCTAATGTTCTCTGTGAATATAAGAAGGCAAAGCAGAGAAAATACCCTTCCAGTTAAATTAAGTTCTAAAGCAATCATCTCGGGAAAGATGCTGATGATTAAGCTCTTGCTTAAATATTCATAGTCCTTGATTACAGTATTATCTGCAAATGTATATTGCTACTATAAGTGTTATTGATTCAAATCTGTCCTTTGAACATCTCATTTTAGAGAGATGGCATCCTAAGGTTCAGCTTGGATTTATGCATGTGTAAAATGTCTTTGAGTATCTTATGGTAAGAATATAGAGTACCACTCAGTTTTCTTTAAGGGGAGCATTTTAGGGAATGATGAGTAATTGCTAGGGTAAAAGTAAAAGTAGATTGTCAGTTCATAATCTACTTTGACTATCTAGTATGGCACAATTTAAGTCTTATCACTTTGAACACAGTCAATTGATCAGTTAGAATCTGAAATTCTATTATCTTACGCTTGTATATTGAGAAGGGACTGGAAGTGGAAGGAGGGTGACCTCAGGATCTCTTTGGTATATTGATATTTTTGACATTTCTAATCTCATGTCTAAATACAACATACCCGGTAATATAACTATACCAGCTAGCTAGAAGCATTATAGAAAGTTATAATCAGGAATACTTATTATAACTCAGGAACATATACTATTTTTGTGTAGAACTTTGTGTGAAAGTCATTGAACTTCATTCAGTTTTGACTGAGGCCTAGGAACCAGCTATATTTTCAAGCCATGTTTTGAAAAACAGATCGAACTCTTGCAGTTCCACACTGCAGTGTATATTTCTCCAGTCTTTAAATCACTTTGGCTCCTTTTCACAGTTTTCTTCTTTCAAAGTCTCAAGTAGAAGACAAACCAAGAAATGGTAGAATTTATTCCTAAGACACTTTTTTCTTTTTTTTTTCTTCCTTCCTCTTCTGATCGACATGAAAAGATACATTACCCGCTTACTGTTTTCTATTTAAAGGAATTATCTTGAATGTTCCCTTTCAGAAATACAGATGTCCCCCAAGCACTTGTCCGGAATTCGTCGTTGGAAGAGAGCATGAGCATGTCTTTACAGAAAGAGCCAACAGAGGGAGTGAGCAACCACTTGGTGGTAACAAGTGAGCAAAGCCCAGAACCTGCTGTCTCCTTGGTGCCCCAGCATCCATCAGAGGATCAGAAGCTTTACCAGGACTTACTGGTAATTCAGTTAAATTTGATATTCTGAGCTGAATGCAACAGTCACAATGGCAATACTACAGTTGCAATGCAGTATTTTCACGACTGAGAACTGCATGTAGTTTTCAAATGTGTATGTTATTCTCTGCAGAAAAAATATATTTCAAGCTAAGTTTTTGGCTCTCTTAGGGCTTAAATGGTTAATGTGCACTTCTCTGTGCATGGCTAGCAAATAATTCTGCGCTTTGGAAATAATCCTGAGCATATTTGATAACTTTGCCCAACTAGTACCCTTTAAAAGGGTAGTACCCAACATTTTACCCCAGAAGTGCTTAAATCAGATGCCTTTATCTTTAATAGCTGCTTGTTGTGCTTTCAAATTGAGGGCAGATTCTTACAGAATGCTTGAAATTCGAGGTATTTCAGTATTGCACTACACTGCTTGAGTTTACATAAATGTATGAATAGGATCCAAATTTGGCTTGACTGTCAAAGTATTTAGCTATATTGTAGGTTGTACAAGAATAAAACAGGATTCTGGATTAACATAATTCCTGCATGTCATGATGTTTTTTCCACACGCTCTTTTTTCTTGCTCCCCTTTTCTCTAGGGCCAAGTAAACCACCTCTTGAAGTCCTCTGAAGAACAAAATCGTTTGCCTGTGAAAGCAGGGTGTGCTAATGACGGTGGTCCTACGTATCAGAATATTGATGATACAAGAGAAAAGGACTCGGAGCTTGACACAGATGTGGTGGATAAGGAGAGTGTGATCAGTGCTACGCTCAAGCAATTGCGGAATCTTGGAGTGGCAATTGAATCACCTGGTGAAATGAAGGAAAATACACGCAAAGTGGAGAGTGCCAGGTAGAATTCTGCTTTTGAGTAGCAATTTTTAGATCCAACCAAAAATCAAGGTTTGAGTCCTGCTAACAATAGCAGAAATCTATTGTCCTATAAACTGAGCAAACTCAATTTGTTTAAATACAACGTAATTGCTATAGGAGCAGCATGAATTTGGTTCCCTGACTGTTGTGCGGAGCATGTGCCAAATGGCATGAATATGCCAGAGCTTGTTCTTCCAGCCTGAAGCTAGATACCTAATATATACAAGAAATGAGTGTGGCAAGTAAGTATGAGTATTTATTTGAAGGATGCCTCAAAATCTAGAAGCTTCCAGGCTTTTGGAGACAGGTATATTTTTCCCAAGAGTTCTCTATAGTAAACAATATATATAAAAAAAAGGGATTAGCATGTAGTGCAGGAAAAAAATCATTGTTCAAAAATAATATTCTCTTAGTTACTGGGCTTGTATCTTTTTATCTAGATATAAATGTTGGTTTGGGTGGCATCATATAAATGAGCCTTAAGGTCAAAGACATCTAGTGTTAACATTTACTGAATAGAATATGCCAACAGCTTGAACCTCCCTTAAAAAAGCTAAAACCTGCCAGAGGCCCGTTCTTGATATATCGATTGTGTTTGGTATCAAATCAGAAGAGAATATCATTAGCTCCCTAGACCAGAATTTGGATACTACAGCTGTGACTTGCTAGCAAACTGTGGTTTAGTATGTACTAATGTATGATCTGAGCTGTATCCTTTGGAAGGAAGGAGAAATCCACATAGCGAACAAGCAGAAATTATCGAATTAGATTGTGAAACTGATAATTCACTATAATGCTGAACTAACTTTTTTGATGCTTCATTTCAGTGTTTTAGCGTGCATAAATCCTGACGCGGTGGTTCCTGGACTAAACTATATGTCATTTGCCAATGTCAGCATGTGTGGCTTAACTCCTAATGTTGCGGATCTGAGCATGGAAGCCAACGCTATAGCACTCAAGTACCTCAGTGAAAATCAGCTCTCTCGACTTTCTCTCAGTCGCTCGGGCCGGAATCCTCCTGCAGATTTTTCTTTCCAAGATGTCTTGCATACGAATGTGGACAAAAGCATGGTGGGTCTGAGCTTAATTTCACCAAACAATATGTCTTTTGCAACAAAGAAGTACATGAGGCGCTATGGACTGATCCAGGGCAATGACAGCAGTGAGGATGAAGAGGAACTTCAGGTTCAAGGCCGCAGTACCAGCACTATCAAAAGTGAAAACGCATTGGACAGGAACATTAACTGTGTGCTGGAAGGGTACAGCTGCTGGGCTGAGCTTTCCAAAAGAACGGGTGAAAAACTTCCCATTCATCTAAAAAGTCACAGCAGAGAGGCAGCTGATGAAGCGTCTCCACCAGAACTAAGCAGCCCCGTATTTAAAAATACTACAAATGAAATTTTGCCTCCCAGAGCAGAAAAATCAAATGAAAACTCGAGTCACATTTTAAAGGACTTAAAATTGAAACACAAATTGCTACCTGGGAAGGTCGAATTCACTGAACAACCTGGCAGGAAAGATGGAGATATCGAGGTCTTCCCTGGGAAAGTACATGCACCAACCCTTGAACCATTAAACCATTCAGACAGCATCAATTCTGTTGGCACCATTCTTGATGTAAAGCAACTCAGACAATTGCCAAAGTTGTTCTGACCATCCCCTAAAACTTGTAACCACTCTTCCAAATGTAAGAGGAATTCCTACTTAAACTCCAGGAAACCAAGGATTAAGCTATTTTTCGAGAGGTCACTGGTAGCAATAAACGAAACTTGCAAAGCTGAGCTTTTCTGTCTAGTTCTGAGACAGCTACCACTAAAATGCTTTAGTTGACGCTGACCAGCGTTGAAGCATGTGGGCACTTTTGTTTACAATTAAACATATTTAAGTATCTGAAGGTGAATCAAATGGGAATAGCTTGAGCATAAGATGTACCCTAAAGTAATTTTAATAACGATACTTAAATATTCTTTTGACTTTTACTGAACACTGACTTTTACTTGTCTATGCCAGCCATAGATACTGTGTGTAGCAGAGCAGGCAGTAACAGAGTTAAAGCACTAATTTCTAGAAGTTTGCTCAGACTGGATTGCTGTTTGTGTGGGAGCTTGTGTGGGGTGGGAAGGGAAACATAACCATGGCCTTATTTTGTGTAATTTCTTTTGGTTTTTTGGACAAAAGGTCACAGGTAATGGATTCTGTATATATTATAAAAATCTTGTAAGGAAATTTGAAAAATTAGCACTTTTTATATCTTTGCAACTTTTCTGAATGAATGTTTTCTATTTATTTTAAAAGTACATATTGATCATAAAGGTCAAATATTCCATTAAAAAAGTAATTTTATTTGATGTGGTCTTTTTTTTTTCTTAAGGTATTTGCCCCTTCCATGTATTTACAATGGTTAACTAGAAATGTGAGTGTATCACCTAGTGCTAAACTCAGGAATTCTGGTATTGGGTGGCAGGGTAAGCAAAATATTTGATTTACTCTTTTCTGCATTAACATACAAATTAGTCTGTCATCAGCATTCTCTAATGTTACTGAAATGGCCTTTTTTCATAATTCTGTATTAGTAATACAGAATTATTCCAGTTGCTAAATTATTCATTGTTTAAATGTTCCAATTCTGCTAAGACTGACTTTTGGCCTTTTTTTTTTTTTTTTTTTTTTTTAAGTGAAATGGATATTCTTGTGATTATGTTTTGCAGGCTACTTTATATCCTAATGGAAGTAGTTTGGATTTTATATCCCACTGGTGATGGAAAAGCGACCTCACCTGCTGCTGATTATGACAATTCAGGTGCTTTTGGCAGCACTGCCCCTGCCACCCCTGCTTGGCTAGTGGTGCTCGGGTGTAACGTGCTACCTCGAGAGCAGAAATGGGCACTGGAAGTTGCAATTTATTCCCATTTCTACTGCTCATTACTAAGAAAGACAATTTAAGGAGGGTAGAGCCCTGAGTTTTCTCCTTAACTCAGCCCAGAGCTGCTTGAGCTAGTGTCAGTTTGACCACACCTTGCATTTCAGTAGTGAGGATGGCTTGAAAGAAGTGCAGCTTCTGCAGGGGTGAGATTAGAGGTTAAAACACCCCCTGCTAAAGCCCTGGGCTCCTCCAGTGCAAGTTCATGCTTTAAGTGAATCCCAATTAATTTATTACAACAAAATAAGACTCTTTTCCAGTATCTACCAGTCAGGTAAACTTGGTGGAGTAAGAAGTGGGGTGGACTAAACTGTTCTCCCCTTCAGAGCGGGGAAGGCAGCAGCTCCCTCCCTGCTCTCCAGCATCGTCAGAACTTTTTCCTCTCACAGCAGCCTGTTCCAGCACCAGGAATATTTGTTTCCCTTCAGGAAAGGTGCAACTTTTTCACACAGAGGAGGATGGGGAGGAAAAAAAAACCTTTCTCTGTCCCTAAATCTAATGGATCTGGCACAAGTTTAGTCTCTGGCAGGCTTTTTCTGCTGAAGTAGTCAGAAAACAGTTAATGTTTTTGGACATTCCACGGCGATGAATGAGGCAATTCATACCTCTGCACTATTGTTTTCGGGGTTTGTTCTTTGTTTCCTATTGTAAAATGTCTGGAAACACAGGAAGATGGCAGTTGTATTGGTCAATATTTCGAAGACTTTCTTCAAATGCTTGAGGGCTGCAAAAACAGTTAGACAAAAGCCTTAAAACTTGCACCCAGCTCAGGCCAGGGGCGGGTGTTATGTTAAGTTATGCAAATTATATGATCCTAGAGAGCAACTTCAAACAAGTGAAACATTAATTAATAGAACAACAACAACAAAACTTTGTTAAAACTACTTCTCCTTTCATAGTGCAGCTGTCAATGATTTAAAGACGAGGTGGTAGGGGTGTTTGGGGGTTTGTATGTGTGTTTTCCTCTCTAACACATTTACTGCACTGTGGACTTGAAATACATCCAAGAGAAACCAATTAGTGTCCTGTACCCCAATGTGTGCGTGTTTCTTAACTCTTTTTGCTGCTTTCAGTGGTAATGACTGTTCAATGCCGCCTTCTGCAGCCAAGGGGAGGGTTTGAAAACAGGCTCTGAGCTTCGCTGCTTGCAGGGCAAAACTCAAGCGTGAAAGTGCGGAGGGGACAGCTCTGCCTAAGGTGGTGGGAGGGGGTGTTTTGTTTTCCTTGAATGTAAAATAGAGAAAGAAAGAAAAAATGGGGGGTGGGGGAGAGAGAAGAAGTTAAAAAAAAAAAAAAGGGAAGAAGAAAGAAACCTTTCCTAATCATTTTTCCTTTGATCTTTATACACTTGTGTAATAGGATGCATCTAGCACTGGATTTTTCTGAAAATATATTTAAACTGAGAGAATTCAGATATGATTTGTTTACACTAGAGAACAAATTCAGTGAAACATGTAGTTTATCTTGCTGAGAATTAAGCTGTGCACTCTGCCATGAGTAATATACTTGTAGCTTTACACAGGAACCATTTGGAAAACTGGTACTGGTTTGAGAATATAAAACAAAAATATGCAACTGTGCAAGTCTTGCATCTGTTCGTAGTAGCACCCGTAGCTGGAAGGTCACCAGAAATACTGCAAGGTGACAAATTTGTCTACCTTTTCAACGTCACACTGCAGAAAAAGAGAGTGCTGAAAGCTGTGTGGGAGCATCTAGATATCCTTTCTGTCGAAAGGGTGTGTAACTATATGCCATGCCTGGGATTTTTGGCCACAACTGTGAATTTTGATGAGGCAGGGTAAGGGAAGGCAGAGACCCATTGCTGGCTTCCATGGAAGTACAGAGGTCCCTTGCCTATCCTTCCTTCCAAGGACCAGGCTCCGAGACAGTAGAGCCTTCCTGCCCTGAAGAGGTGTCCTTGTACGCATTCTCCTTCCCTTAACCACCGGGTGGGGTGAGAGCGCGAACAACCCCCTGAGCCCTCAAGAGCTGCCCCTTGCTCGGTCGGGAGCACCTCGGATTTGGGGCTCCAGAACTGTCCCACTGCCCTGCAAAAAGCGGGTGGCCCCGTACCCGCCCCGCGGGCTCGCCCCGTGTCCTCCAGGTCCTGCGTGGGCTCTGCCCGCCCTCAGCTGGTCCCTCAAATCAGTCCCCCCCCACCCAGGGTTCGGTACCCCCCGAGGGTCGCCCCGTCTCACGCGGGCGGAGGAGCCCGGGCAGCCCCTCAGTGGCCACGCGACGAGGAGCTGGGGGTGCCTTTTCCCCAAAACACCGTGTCTCGACTGTGTTTTATTTACCTCCTCTCGTCCCAAAGCCGCCCACACCCCTTCCCTCTCAGCATCCCCAGCAATTTATTTTGGCTCATTAAATTTAATTAAGAACGGAGTAGGTGTTCCATATTTAATCAAAAAAAAAATGCAGGGGCATAATAACCTCCAAGAGGACTAAAATAAAGAATCGCTATTCAGATGTGGGCCGCCACAGTGCAATTTTTTATTACTTTTTTTTTCCTCGTAGTGTCTTTTTAAGAGCATCTAAGCACACACACATAAAAAGCTAGAAGGCATGCATTCCGGAGTTATTCCTATGCATATCCCTGCAATAATTTTCCGCTTTCCTTCGATAAAATTGCCAAATAATAATGAATCATTTCATAAATAATGGGTTTAGAAGCTTATCAGGGCAGGCGGGCCACTGCTGGGGTTTTATCTCTCTCGGCCACATTGCAGTAGTGTTCCGCTCTCCATACTAAATAGGAAACTGGACGTGATGTGGAATTAGAGCCTACCCAGCTGAAGCCACCCAACACTTACTACAAATATAGCCGTGATGCGTAGGCCACAAAATGGCTCCACTCACTTTTCCCAATGAAAAGCAAATGGTGAGTGGAGAGGGATCCAGCCCTGCGACGGGCTCGGGCTGGCATGGGGGTGGCTGGGCGTTTCTGAGGGGGAAAAAGGGGTGCGCGGGGGGTCTCCTGCACCATGCAAGGTAAAAAGAGGGAGGAATCCAAAATCTGAAGCCCTCTCCGCCGTTTTTTTCCCCTTTCCGTGTTTTTTTTTTCATTTTATTTTATATTTTTCCTTTTTAATGGAGGAGAACAACAACAACAAAAACACCGTTTTCCCGCTGGGGAATACGGGGATGGGCTCCCCCCGGGGCTGCAGCGCGGGGGTC